CCTCTCCTTCCTCCTCCCCATCCTTCTCTCCCACTCTCTCCCCCTTCTTCCTTCTCCTCTCCACTCTCTCGCCTTCTTCTTCCTCCTCCCCTCCTTTCTCTCCCACTCTCTCACCCTCTTCCTTCCTCCTCCCCCACCTTCTCTCCCACTCTCTCACCCTCTTCCTTCCTCCTCTCCCACTCTCTCGCCCTCTTCCTTCCTCCTCCCCCTCCTTCTCTCCCACTCTCTCACCCTCTTCCTTCCTCCTCCCCCTCCTTCTCTCCCACTCTCTCCCCTCTTCCTTCCTCCTCTCCCACTCTCTCACCCTCTTCCTTCCTCCTCCCCCTCCTTCTCTCCCACTCTCTCACCCTCTTCCTTCCTTCTCTCCCACTCTCTTCCCTCTTCCTTCCCCTCGCCCGCTGTCTGTGCACGCACCTTGTCCTTTGAATTGACCTTCGAAGCCGAACTGGTTCTCCGCTTGCCCGTCGGTATCTTGTAGACGCGGAACCACTCGACGGTAGCGTTCAGGAAACCCGGCATGTGCTTCTCAACGTCCGTGATATCTGCAAGCACACGCAGCGTCAACAAAGTGAACGTGATTTAGAACGCGATTTAGGGCGTTTGTTTGGTCGGATCCACGGATCTCGATCCACCGAACCCGACCCTGCTAGCGAGGTGGATTCGAAGGGGATCCAATATGGCGGCCCGCGCTCAGCCAACACAGCTTGTTCTTTGTTATGAACCATCCCGTGATAGGTCACATCGAAACGCGAACCGTTGAAAGTGAGTTTGTGTTTGTTTGGGGCGATCTGGGTCAAGTGATCCTGATCAGACGGATTCATTCCAAACAAACGCGCCCATAGAACGTGCGTATGTGACGAGGAGACCTGCCCGTCTCTCTACGAGGTGTGCGGACCCACTGCCTTTAGTTTATTGCCTGTGAGTTTGATAAGCTAATCGATCGATGCTACTGCTACTGCTACTGCTACTGCTACTGCTACTGCTACTGCTACTGCTACTGCTACTGCTACTGCTACTGCTACTGCTACTGCTACTCTACTGCTACTGCTACTGCTACTGCTACTACTACTGCTACTGCTACTGCTACTACTACTACGAGGACGCATCCAAGATAGAGTTCACAATGCCATGCCATTTGTCCATCATCAATGTCTGCATGTCCGCTATGTCATGCTTTGTCATTACTGCATTGCAAGGGATATCCAGCATGACATAGATGCTATCAAGTTATGAAGTTAACTATGATGATCCGTGTGCAAGGTTAAGAGTAGTGATGGGAATCGGCTGGAATTTCATAATCGATTATCGGTTTCCCTTAACCGATCGATAATCGATATAAATCGGATAATCGGTTAATAATAGCATAGATTTAATTTAATCTTACTTTGTATATATACAATTATACATAGCTCATTCAATATTATCATGTTTTATGATCATGTATTAACTCTGTGAAGGTTGCTGTATGTATATCAATGTCTGTTCCTATACAGTATTTAATCAATTTAAAAAGAAATGGTTTAAATGCCTTTAACATTAAAAGTACTCTCGTAGAATTAACATTAGTTGTAAGTGTTATCGTAGCATTAACATTAGCATTAACTTTACGATGTTTCTGACAATGGGCCCCTGCAGGACTTGTGCTCTACTTGTCATATCAATTCACACATCGTGAGTACAGTTCCTTGTTTGTTTGTTTGGTAATTCGATAATCATTATTTGTTTTTATAATCGATTATCGAATTTGAGACTACAATCGATCGATTTTCGATTATAATCGATCATCGGGACATCACTAGTTAAGAGTACACTCAAGCTTTTGCATGGGTATTACTTTAATGACGAGTAAACGTTTATTGACTAGTGAATCGAATCAATCATTTTCATAGATGAGATGTATCTCTATGCTCAAGCCAAAAAAAATCAAGAAATTTCTAGCATCTAACTATGTGACAACACAAATTTGAAATTTTAATGTAAAAACGGTCTCACTCTGTAGCCAATTAACTTTCACTGGCATCATTTTACGTCGCTACAGTTTCATTACATGATTCGTTACTACCGTTTATTTCACATCTAACGACTAATGAATTTCTTATTTATATTTTTACCGTTCAGGTCTTTTGCCAACGGATCTGTGACATCAATGCAAATCACCTTCCAGTCAGTCTCGCCTGAAACATCCCACATAGAAGATAGATACAGGGTAAGCTATTCAGGGGCTTTAATACAGAGTTAACGAATTAAACATCGAATCGATCCATATTCTGTGAGCAGTTCTGACATACAGCCGGAGTTCAACCGTCGGCGCGATTTGTGTTGCGATACGTTACAATGTGCAGGTGTGGAATATTATTTAGGCCATAATAAAAATATTGATTGTTTGGCCTCACCGACCATCCCACCAAAAAAGGGGGGGAAACTCAAAATTTGTTTATTGATCTTTTCCATTCTTTTTTTTTTTTACAAATTGTATCACTTGTACATTATACAAATCTGTAGGCAATACATTATACGTACCAAGCAAAACACAGATTCAACATAAAAGGTATCTCCACACAAGCACACCCGAGCATGTAGACACCATGCTGAATTTGTAAAAGACCCCCCTCGAAAAATAAAATAAAAGCCTACCTACCTACCCAAACTTTTTGCGCCTGCGTCGGGTGAGGGCAAACAAAGATTTTTTTAATTGTGCTTCAGTGCGATTTGTGTTGTGATATGGTACAATGTGTAGGTGTGGGAGCAATATTTACCTTCGTCGATCAGAGCCAATGTTCCTAGAATCTTCACCTGTATCACCTGCCCTCGCTTGTGCACCTACATGCATCAACACCACCGTTAGCAGTAATGTATTGAATTATAATGTAATGTAATGTAATGTAATGTGATGTAATATAATGTAATGCAAAGCAATAAAAAAACAAAATAAAACAAGAGCCGCAGAGCGTCTGGGCTCATCTGAGGTCTGTTGCTACGGTTATAAATGTAACATTTAAGTCATGCGTAGTGACACCTTTGTAGGCGCAGATATGCAGATACGCAGTTGCGTACACATCATTTCAGCAACCTTCTGCATTCTGCATACCTCCAAATCCCATTGTTGATACAAATCGCGTGCCTGAAATCCTGTTTATGGTGGCATTGTGACCCTAACCCTAACCCTAACCCTATTAAAAAAATGTTAATTGTTGTAAAAATTATTTGTTGTAAATAAATCATGTAAATATTTGCATTAATTAGAAAAAATAGTTAAATGGATAAAGATAGAAAAATACAGAAAACAGGTAAATAATAAAAAATCTGATGGAATTCCAGGCTTTCAGATTTGAAAAGTACAGGAGGACTACTAATGACTCCCCTAGGACACCATAGGGGGTCTTTTCACGCTCCATAAATCACACCCTTAAGAGGCATGATGGAGAGCTCCACTAAAAATCACACCCTTAAGAGGCATGATGGAGAGCTCCACTAAAATCACACCTTTAAAAGGGATGATGGAGAGCTCCTTGAGGCTCTCCATCATGCCTCTTGGGGTGTGATGATGGATCATGACCAATCCTCAGTCTAGAGTGAAATCCAAAACGAAAATTGGGATGTCATGTCAATCTACTGATTATCATTCATCTTCACCTTCATTCATTCAATGGCTTCGTCAGGATTACATTAATTCTTTCATCCAACAACCCAACACTAGCACACAGATTAATAAAAGAGTTGATCGGATGTAAAAATAAGCTTGTTTTATTTATTCTGATTTCCCATCCTTAGAGATTCTAATCCATGTACCTGCAATTTCAGCACAAAATGTCATCACAATCCATCACAAACTAGCCAAATTACTTTTACGTAGTAGCCACGTATGTAGCCCCTCCAGCCCTACGACTGTTCACGTCGGCAGAAAACACTTCTCGCCACGTATAGTAGAAAACGAGCAGGTAACTTGTGGCTACCGTATAGGTACCTGATTTTGGACGCTGTTGTTTAGTTGTATTTATATATATATATAAACCAGAGGGTAGTAACCAGACCTGTACCTCTGCCATACGTTCAGTTACTTACACACCACAAATTATTTGTGTGTTGCTAACCTTTTTGTACCCCCCTACATTGAGAACTCTATGGAGCGCTATTTCAACATAATAGACATACTTTTGACGCGCGATTTCAACCACTTTTATGAGGCGTGATGATGCGCGCACCATGGCACAATTTCGGGTGAAACAAAAAAGTTTTTCACTCTGTCCATTACAGGCCTGTGAGAGCTTGACTTTGTAAAAAGAGGAAACCCCAGAAAGGCGGTCGGGGGGGGGGTCCTCCCCCCAAAAATTTTTGTTTTTCGAGATGCTCTGTGGTGCAATCTGAGACCTCTGGAGGGTATATATAGGTTGTTTAAACTTGGTCAGATTGATGCCTTTTTATGGTGACATCCAGTTTTTGACACCCGGTAAAGCAGTATTTGACTGTCTGGTAGTAATCTTTCCTCTGTGCTTTTCCGTTTTGGCGTGGTCTTGTAGTGCAACTGACCCTCGGTTTGCATAGTTGATTTCCTTCCGACAAACGACACAATATGCGTGTCCATCTGCTTTTATTTTCCTGATCACCTCGGACAATGGCATCCCCTCTACTTTTATCTCCAACCAGGTCCATTTCCACGGATTTTTAATGCCGGGATCAAGCTTTGAAACGTCCGAGATTCTCTCGACAACATCGCATCTCAATGCTGTCGCCATCTCAAACTCAAACTCCCAAATCCTTATTTATAGACTGAAAGCAGCTCCTTTTGTACAGATTTTGTAATACATAGTGAGACTAATGTTTAAAGCTAACACCAGTTTAATTTCTACGTATTTAAGTACTGCCATCTACCGAAAATAACAATTTTTTTTTTTTTTTTTGCGATTTTTTTTTTTTTTTTTTAAACGAGGAAATGAAAATAAAACGCGAGAATGCAACTAACAAAACGAGGAAAACCGCGGATCCGCGGAGATTTCACAGGCCTGCCATTAGGCCATGTCCTCAAAAAATGTCTGATATCTGACCTTTCCCCCACTGCCCTTTGACCTGTGACCTCCAATTTCGCACTGGTGGTGGGTTTCCTGCCCATCACACTATACACTAAATATTAAGAACATAGGTCGATCCGTTAAGATTTGTGCCGCAATTCCGTATTTCCTCCTATACCTTAAGTTAAGGGGGAAATATTCCCCCTCCGTTTACACATCTTGACCTTTGACCCTTGACCCCCAAATTTGTCATCCCGAGTCCTTTCCACGATCCCCCCCGACGTCCCGAATATCGTGACCGTACGTCGAGCGGTTAAGATTTGTGCCCAACTGTTGACGGACGCACGGACGGATGGCCGGACGCTTGGACGGACGCACGGACGGACAATCATGCGATTCTACAAGCTGCATCTGACTACGTCAGATGAGCTAAAAAACACCACCGTTAGCATGGCAAAGCAGGTTGTGTGCACAGGTGGCAGCACCTTCCAACCCAATTCAAAATCATGATAAAACACAATAAATTTTGCACAATATACAAGTTAAATCACGATGTATAACGTCAAACGACCTAGAATACGGCATTATGAAATTCCAGCAGCTTCCAGATTTTCTATCTAGAGAGCACGTACGAACCCCGTTCTTACCTTGTGACCGATCCCGTTCCTACCTTCAAGGACCACAATGTAAATAAGTGTGCTAGTCATGCTTTAATTTTGTGTTTATATTCTTGGTAGTTATCCAATTTTATGAATTCAGAATTTTATTGTAAAAGTACGCCATGTATTGTATACGATGGATAATTGCCCAAATAAAAAAATAAAAAAATACCTTGTAACCAATCTCGCAGACGTCAATAGGGTCGTTGTCGCCCATGCATTCCGTCGCCTTATCCGTGTGGCTTGGATCCTCCCACGTCTACAAACAGATCACAGCAAAATATGAGCAATGCACAAGTGGTGATCAGACGTACGAAGCTTCACCTCTGTGCCACCCGGTGGCAGCACCGTGTCGTACGTTGGCTTTTTATCCTACACCTTCACCACTTTAGTTTCAAAAATTACCGCTAGGACGCTGTCAGTGTTGGGGGAGGAGCTATCCTACCCGGTTACATGGGGTACATGTATCACTGACCAGGATTCAGGTGCCCTGACTGAGCAATCCCTCCCTCGCAATCCCATAATGGTTGGATTTTTAATATCTTTGCAACTTTTATTAGTACAAATCTTATAACATATGATACGAGTAACGTGGCTGCTGTAAAACTTGTAGTAAAAAAAGCGTTCCAAATAGTTGTAACGGAAATCTACTTGTGGCAGTGGTAGATTGAACCCATGAGCACCCTTTTCAACATCTGTCGTAGAGTTTGATCCCAAAGCTGAAGGTTTCCGAAGTATTTTGAGTGGTGGTCCCTTGCGGTAATTTTTGAAACTAAAGTGGTGAAGGTGTTGGATAAAAAGTCCTTATCGTTCGCTTCGGCTCGTCACTTTCTGAGAAAATGGCAGACAGAAACGTAGACAGTAACGTCGCTGCACAATCGCGGAAATATAGTTTGCCAGTACACTGGTGGTAATTTTTACAAGCGGGCGCTACTCAGTTATCTAATGCAAGCAGGTATAATAAGTACAGACAGTTATCTAGCTGCACAAGTAAACACACAAAGTAAACAGTAGGTAGATAAAATAAAATACCCACAGACATTTACTCTCACACATGCACGGACACACGCACGTACATGCACGCTCGTGTGCATGCACACGTGCTTGCTTGCACACACATGCACGCACGCACGCACGCACGCTCACACGCGCACACACACACACATAATGAGACACAAGGTTTCAGACATTAATTCTGCACTGGCTCACCTGTGGCAGTGCGCCGTAGTTCCAGATGTAACCGTGGTGAGGGAAGCAGTTGTTTACGAAGCGCAGCTTTCCCTTCTTTATATCTTGTTTGATGGGATTCATCTTGTCCTTGGTGTCAATCTGACAAGGAGAAGGTGTGAAACGATGAGACGGGCGGCACGTTACGCTGCGTCATCTTATGATGCGTGTGGGAATGGTAACATCCCAGTTGTCCTACTCCCACCTCATCTACTCTCAGAATCGGCAATATTCCCATTTCGCCTACTCCCATTGTACTACAATGTACATTGTACAAGTTGTGTTCTCATTATTTGTACCTATGTTTTGCTTCTGGTTCCTGTAGTCTATATATGCCAATCAAAACCATGTTTTATTATTTATAAATGATTATTTAGTGAACAAACCGATCGTAGACGAAATGGGAGTGGGGTAGACTTTAAGCGTAGACGAATTGGGAGTAGGCGAAATGGGTGTAGGTCAACTGGGAATTTTGCTGTAGGCGAAATGGGAATTTTACCGTAGGCGAAATGGGAGTAGGCCAATCAGGAATAAACCGTGGGAATATTAAATGTTATTACATGTTGTCTTACACTGTGTGTTGGATTATTACATGTTATTACATGTTGTCTTACACTGTGTGTGGGATTATTACATGTTATTACATGCTGTGTTACACTGTACGGGGGATTATTACATGTTATTACATGCTGTGTTACACTGTGTGTGGGATTATTACATGTTATTACATGCTGTGTTACACTGTGTGTGGGATTATTACATGTTAATATTACATGCTGTGTTACACTGTATGGGGGATTATTACATGTTATTACAGGCTGTGTTACACTGTGTGTGGGATTATTACATGTTATTACATGCTGTGTTACATTGTGTGTGGGATTATTACATGTTATTACCTGTTGTATTAAGCTGTGTGGGGGGTTAGTAACCGTTATTACCTCCGCCCAACGGAGTTGGAGGAGGTTATGTTTTCGCTCTCGTGTGTTCGTGTGTTAGTGTGTTCGCGCGATCGATATTAGCGCGTCAGCCAGCGAGCCAGCGAGCCAGCCAGCACAGCGAGTCAGCGAGCGTGTACATGTGAGCGAGCAGCAGCAACGAGCGGCTGCTACGAGCGAGCGAGCAGCAAGCCAGCAAGCGTGTACATGTGAGCGAGCAGCAGCAACGAGCGGCTGCTACGAGCGAGCGAGCAGCAAGCCAGCAAGCCAGCATGTACATGTCAGTACGCTGGCGTATATCGTGGCTTATTCGTGTGTTCGTGAGTCGTATGGCGTATGGCGTATGTTGCTCTCCGTGAGTGCACTCTGTCTAGTTAGGTTTGTGATATATTTCGTGTGGGAATATTAGATGTTATGACGTGTGTAGTGTGCGTGATCGCTGAATAAATCATTTAACACAGCTAGATAGACGACATTTTGACACACACACACACAGACGCACATACGCATGCATGCCCACACTAACACGAACACATCGACTGAAGTACCTCAGCCTTCAAGGAAGTGTTGATCAAAGTTTGCTCTCACTAAAGGTTACTGCATTTTCCTCAACATTTGTTTAGCCAAATACCGACATTTCTCTGATTACGTCTCCCAACCCCCACCGACCCATCGCCTGCACGTTAACAGCATTTCTCGTGCAAGGAATGCGCAGAGTGTCAACCCACAGGGAAAGCAAGCCAGCTCGAGTCTAGAATCAGAGATATGCCTGTAGAACCGACTCGACTTTAAAAATTGTTCCGTCGCCAAACTCGCCATGTCTGCCACCGGTCATGCTCAACGCCACGGGCTATCCAGTCGTCAAGACCAAGTTGTTACAATCAGAGTCCACAGCCGATCTACGTAAATGCATAGCCGAGGCACATGACGACCGCTCAGCGCCCCAAGGGCAGTTGTCATAGACGCCACACACCATGATGGCTACATTAAGGTCGCTAGTTCGTTTTACAACAGGTTCTAGCGCGGCCAGCCCCCGCTGATGTGTTGTTAACCCCGACTGGGATGTTCACTCCTCAACAGCAGTGAAGTAATAGCTCTAATAATAATTAGCAAAAATAATAATAATAATGGAGTAATGGAGTAATAGCTCTAATAATAATAATCATTAGTGATATAATCACATTTTCACGAGCTGGCGAGGTGTTGCCATCACACACCAAGAAATTGCCTTAGCAGTCCAAGGGAAAAGATCTAAAGTATTCTAGGTCTTCTTCTTCTTCTTCTTGTCCTCTTGGTCCCCGATGGGACATAAGGCCGTTTCTAGGTCTTACGAAAGAGGAAACCCAAGTGGGACATTTATTTTGACTTCGCGGGACTACCTGCATTAGAAAGTTACTGTGCTTGGTGGAATGCGAGAGCGGGGCGATGAGACGTCAGGGGTCGAAATTAGAGTTTTATTTTGGTATCCATTCGGGATACCAGGCATTGAAATCTAGTATCCCCCCCAAAAAATAAATCTGGTATCCCATTTTTGGGATAGTAATTTCAACAATGTTGGTATCCAAAATCTTGAAATAGTAGCATTATATAGCAGCTAGTATCTCAATAATAGCATTTGAAAATTATTAATATGTAATGTAATTATTATATAAAAACATGAAAACAGATTCACAGATATGCACAGACAAGCTTATGAACGCAGTCAAATAGAACAGCCGATGACCATGTTATGGAATGGTGCAGTACAAACACGCACAGAGTCTGCAGCAGTTTGCAATCGCTGTTGCTAGCTCTATCACAAAATAGTATTTGTCCTCAAGTCACATGAAAATAATACATAGGCAGCCGCAATGACTCACTGACTATAATAACACAACTATCATAACATATTAAATCCCACAGGATAAATGTATTAGCATTAATATACTAGAGCACTCGGAGAGCACAGACCTCCGCCAAGGCAGCTGAATTCTCTCACTGTGAAATTTTTTATTAATTAATTAATTAAGTAAATTTTTTTATTAATTAATTAATTAAATAATTAATTGGATCCGGATCACCACCAAAATGTAATCAATTCTAAGTTACCCCATTTCTGACCTATCCTAACAATTTTATTAATTAATTAGTTAATTAATTAATTGGATCCGGATCACCACCAAAATGTAAATCAATTCTAAGTTACCCCATTTCTGACCTATCCTGAAAATTTTATTAATTGATTAGTTAATTAATTAATTGGATCCAGATCACCAGCAAAATCTCATCAATTCTAAGTTAGGCGATTTCTGACCTATCGTGAAAATTTTATGACAATCCGTCCATAACTTTTTCAGTTAGGCTGTACACAAACAAACCCACAAACCAACAAACACTCGCCGGTGAAAACATAACCTCCTGCCAACCCCTTGGCGAAGGTAATAAAAAATATGAAAACTTGTTTACAGATTAGATATGCACAGACCAGTTTATCGATGCAGTCAAATAGAAAAGTAGACTCTACAGTAGCTCTAGAACTATAGCCCCCGCTCCTGCGGCGGAGCGGAGGGCTACCGCTCTAGAGCTAACCCTACAGCTAATATAGCCATCAAAACCACAATCTGCACTACTGGCATTGGACTCAGATTCTGAGTCATCAGAATCTACATATTCAGCATTCTGGTCTTCTTCTAATGTACGTTTTATCCAGACATTTTGACGTGGTCGCCGAGTACGAACTGCTGAACTATTCCACAGATGTATTGCTGGGTCAGGGTTGTAGTATTTAATTTCTGAACTGGCTAATCTTATACGGATTATGGTAACTAGCTGGAACACGCGCTAAGTGCGGGCTTAGTGACTGTGATGCATGTGGTACCGACTGTTCAATACCGAGAGAGATAAGAGAAGAGATTGACCTTGACATTGACATTTAACTTCATTATTACATGCTTATTCTACTTACATTATTGGGCTTACAAAAAGGTCTGTACATGCAGCACAACGTTGACAGACGGCGAAATATTACAGCACAACATTCACAGACGGCGAAATATTAGCAAGGCAAAGATATAGCGCCCTTTATTTTCAGGTAAATCTTTACCATTTTTTTTGTCTTTTTTAAGCCCTTTTTACCGTTTTCAACCGAGTAAAGTTTAGAACCCGTCCCGTGTATTCATCGATCTCTTCTGTGAATTTGGCGCTATTTGGATCAAAACTGACGGAGCCTTACATACATACATACATACAACATTCGCCAAATTATAGTAAGATTACTGAATGAAAAACAACAGGCCTGTGAGTGTGGTTAAAAAAACAGGAACAAATCTGAAGCAGCAGAGTGAGCGAAGCGCATCCCTCCACAATGCACGCAATACCAGTGCTCAGCATATACTCCCGCGCCTAATCCTTAGTGGGCTGAGTGCATTCGCGTGCGGCAAAACACTCGCGTATCCTACCAGTACCATAGGCGAGCGATGTACCGATCGCCTGATATTGTAGTTCACTCCATGTGAGCGGTAAACTACATCATTAAAGGTATATATTGCGAATAAAATTCACCCCATGTCATAAAATTGCCAAATGTTTACGCCAAATGTTGCTCGCGTTCATTTTACATACGCCTCCACACTACACTGCAGACGGATTGTATAAAAGCCGCATTGTCTGGTTCGCTTGATTAGACGTAGATACAAATGTATAGATACAAATACCTAGATACAATGTATACACATGACATTTGTGTTTATCAACATCGGCCACGCTTATTACGCTTGCGCTTGCAAATATGCTATGCCTGCTGTATAATTGCAAAATTATTGGGTCGAGTGGATAACGCTAGTGGATAACGCTAGCGTGGCATAGTAAGGGTGCGCTCTCGCACTCTGCGCGCACTCGCTCAGATGCGCTGCCGTATAAAGTTGATAACTCAACAACCACTACCCCGATTTTGACGATTTTTTTTTATTATCTCGGCGAGATACCAAGCATTGAAATCTGGTATCCAACATAAGAATCTGGTATCCCGTGGATATCGGGATACCGCTAATTTCGACCCCTGGACTGTCAGTCTCACGTAAGATAGCAGAAGTCTGGGGCACTTCTGTGTCAAGGCGGCGCCCGTGTAAATGTTTGTTCGTGCTGCAAGGTAAACAAGGAGCACAACCACTAACCTTTTGCATGGTG